GTGACAAACTTGGCTACTCATGCCAGACTATAAAGAGGGGTGTTAGTAAGTAAACTTGGTTGTTCCATTTAAAAATAATATGGGCTATCCAAATTAATTAGCTAGACCATTCGACTTTATGTTTTATTATAAGCACAATCCATTAGAAAGAATTATCTAGAGAACTAAGTGGAGAAAGTAGTAGAATAGTCTAAATAAATATCTTGACTTTGTTGAAGAATCTAAAATAAATATCTAAAAGAAAAATCTAGATATTAGATGAAAATATCTAGATATTTGTAAAATTGTAGAATAGTGTGGAAAGTTTGTAGAATGTTCTATTGAGTCCTATAAATAGGACTTAGGCCTCCTGATGTAATGTGTGTAGAGAAGTTGTAAGAGTTAGTAGCAAAAGGCTTTCATAATAGAAAGAGTTTCTTTCACTACAAAGTAGTTGAGCTCTCTTTCTTCCAAAAAAATCATCTTCTCCTCCATTTCCACTTCCTAAGCCCATCACTTAAAAGGTCTATTGCTAAGTACCCAAAGGGTTCTTTTACCAACAAACTGGTATCAAAGCTGATGTTGATCCAGCTTTGAAGTAAGATGGCAAGTGGAATGATTTTTTTCCAATTCCATCAACTTACCAAAGAAAATTATGGTAAGTGGTGCATTCGAATGAAGGCGATTTTAGGCTCTCATGAGGTATGAGAGATTGTTGAGAAAGGTTATGAGAAATCTCTAGATGAGGCGTCTCTTACTCCTGCCCAAAGGGGGGAACTCAACAAAGCAAGGAGGAAGGATCAACAACCTCTTTCACTTATCCATCAATGTCTAGATGATTCTATGTTCGAGAAGGTGGCAAATGCTGCTACTTCAAAGGAGGCTTCGGAGATTCTAGAGAATGCTAATAGAGGCATTGAGAAGGTGAAAAAGGTACGTCTTCAAACTCTTAGAGGAGAATTTGAAGCATTGCAAATGGAGGAGTACGAACCCGTTTCAGATTATTGTTCTCATGTCTTGAAAGTGTCTAATGAGATGAAGAGGAATGGAGAAAGCTTGAGTGACACAAGAGTGATAGAAAAAATTCTTCGCACTTTGACACCAAGCTTTGATTATAATGTGGTGGCTATAGAGGAGTCAAAAGATCTTGACTCTATGACCATTGATCAACTCATGGGTACTTTAGTAGCCCATGAAGAGAAACTAAAGAAGAGGAGGTCCAAAGAATCTTTGGAGCAAGCCCTCTACACAAAACTCTCTTTCAAAGAAAGAGATGGATGCTTTGGACGTGGCAGAGGCCTTGGACGAGGAAATGGTGGATTTCAAGGACGTGGACGAGGAAGAACTCGAGGAGGCTATGTTCAATCCACCAAAGAGGACAAAAACCAAGGCTCTCAATCTACAAGAAGTTGTGGAAGAGGTGTGAAGTTTTTGAAAGGAGGTAAATCTCGAATCCAATGCTTTAATTGCCAATAATATGGTCATTATGCAAGTGAGTGTAGAAATTCTAGTCAAGTAAAAGAAAAAGCCAATCTTATGGAGGTTAAAGATGAAGTTCAACTCACTCTCTTAATGGCAAGACACGAGACCAAAGGAGAGAAGAAGACGTGGTATCTTGACTCCGCTGCAAGTGACCACATGACTGGGGATAAAAGGTTGTTTATAGACATGGAACCAGCCAAAGGCTACGTGATGTTTGGAGATGATTCTACACCAAGGGTTGAAGGCAAAGGTAAGATACTAATCCTTGCCAAAGATGAGAGTCACCAATACATCTCAGAAGTTTACTATGCTCCAAGTCTTAAGAGTAATATTTTGAGTTTGGGACAACTTCTGGAGAAACACTACGATATTCATTTGAAAGATCATAGTGCCATAGTTAAGGATTCAGAAGGAAAATTGATCACTACTGTGCCAATGACAACCAATAGAATGTTCTTGTTGAACATTCACCATGAGAATTGCATGAAAGCATGCTTCAAGGATGATCCATGGATTTGGCACATGAGGTACGGTCATTTAAATTTTGGTGACTTGAAATTGTTGTTTGCAAAATGCATGGTAAAAGGATTGCCTCCTATGAATCAACCCAATCACGTATGTGAAGGATGCTTACTTAGAAAGCATTTCAAAAGAAGTAACATCAAGAGCTAAGGAGCCTTTGGAATTCATCCACACAGATTTGTGTGGCCCAATTTCTCCGCTATCCCATGGTGAGAACAGCTACTTCATCCTATTTATTGATGATTTCTCTCGAAAGACTTCGATGTATTTTTTGAAGGATAAATCACAAGACTTTGATGCCTTTAAGACACTTAAGGCTGTGGTGGAGAAGGAGAAAGGCTTAAAAATCAAAGCCTTAAGGTCTGATGGAGGTGGAGCATTCACATCAAGTGAATTCACAAAATTCTGTGAAGAACATGGGATTAGGCATTTTCTTACAGCTCCTTACTCCCCGCAACAAAATGGAGTTGCGGAAATGAAGAATAGAATCATTCTCAATATGGTTCGTAGCATACTAAAGAGCAAGAAGATGCCAAAGGAATTCTGGGCTGAAGCAGTTGATTGTGCAGTGTACCGACTAAATCGATGTCCCACGAAGAGGCTAGAAGACAAGACTCCATAAGAAGCATGGAATAGGGAAAGCCCACAGTGAATCACCTACGAGTGTTTGGGAGCATAGCATATGTCCACGTACCAAGCCAAAAGCGGTCCAAACTTGATGATCGAAGTGAGAAACATGTCTTTATGGGCTATGAAAAGCAGTCCAAAGGCTATAAGCTCTACAATCCAGTCACGAACAAAGTTATCGTGAGTAGAGATGTATAGTTTAATGAAGAAGGAACATGGGATTGGAATATTGAAGGTGGTGAAAGCTTTGACTTCCTTCCTGTCATCCATTAATATGATGATGAAAGTAGTGATGTGGGTGAAGACACTCTGCAATCTCAAAGTCCACATTTACCCATTTCAAATGAAGAGACGCAAAGGACCAGAAGCCTACAAGAGATCTATGAGGAAACAGAACGCATAGAGGCTCTCACACTCTTCTGTCTTTATGCTGACTGTGAACCTCTAGGCTACGAAGAGGCAGCAAGGAGTGAGAAGTGGAGACACGGTATGGATGAGGAAATAAGATCCATTGAAAAGAATCAAACTTGGGAGTTAGCATCTCTTCCAAAAGGCCATAAGGCAATTGGAATAAAGTGGATGTTCAAGGCGAAGAAGAATGCTAGAGGAGAAGTTGAGAAATACAAAGCAAGACTTGTCACCAAAGGCTACAAGCAGAGGCGTGGCATTGACTAAGAAGAGGTATTTGCTCTTGTTGCTCGCTTGGAGACTATCAGGTTAGTAATTTCTATCGCTGCCCAAAATAGATGAAAAAGCCATCAAATGGACGTAACATCCGCATTCTTAAATGGCTTTCTTGAAGAAGAAATATATGTGGAGCAGCCAGAAGGATATGTGGTCAAAGGCCGTGAGGATAAAGTTCTCATGCTAAGAAAGGCTCTATATGGTTTGAAAGAAGCATCAAGACCGGGAATACAAGAATTGATCATTATTTTCCGGAAAATGGTTTCAAGAAATGTCCAAGTGAACATGCACTCTACGTGAAATTTTCAAGCAATGGAGATATGTTGTTAGTTTGCTTGTACGTGGATGATCTCATCTTCACAGGAAATTCCCCTAGCATGATCGAAGATTTCAAGAAGGCGATGACTCTTTTTATGTTTTATTATAAGGCCAATCCATTAGAAAGAATTATCTAGAAAACTAAGTGGAGAAACTAGTAGAATAGTCTAAATAAATATCTTGACTTTGTGGAAGAATCTAAACTAAATATCTAGAAGGAAAATCTAAATATTAGATAAAAATATCTAGATATTTGTAAAATTGTAGAATAGTGTGGAAAGTTTGTAGAATGTTCCATTGAGTCCTATAAATAGGACTTAGACTTCCTAATGTAATGTGTGTAGAGAAGTTGTAAGAGTTAGTAGCCAAAGGCTTTCTTAATAAAAAGAGTTTCTTTCACTACAAAGTAGTTGAGCTCTCTTTCTTCCAAAAAAATCATCTTCTCCTCCATTTCCACTTCCTAAGCCCATCACCTAAAAGGTATATATTGCTAAGTACCCAAAGGGTTCTTTTGTTAACAGGCAATGTTTGCCGGATTGTGATCCTACGTAAGATCGAAATGGGGTCATAGAATCGGATCATAAATGGGATCAATAGGATCGAAATAGTAGGATCGTAAAATTAACTATACATGTTATAATAATTAATTACTTAGATAATTAGGTTTCAATTTTCTTTGCATAAAGTATTTAACATTTAAACTAAAAGAAATGTGTAAATTCAATTTTCTTAAATGAATTTTTAGATAATTTTTTAATAAAAACTCTTCTCTTATAGATCTTCTCTTCATTTTATTAGAAAAACTTTTTAAAATATATTTTTCTTAGCAATAAAAGTTTTCTCAAATAATATTAGCCTCAATTGAATGTGAACCAAAAGAAATAACAGAAAAAAAAATCTCAATAAGCTCAATTAATTTTTGTAATTGATGAATAGTAAACTCGGACCGATCCTACGATCTTGTACGATCCTGGACGATTTTGACCGATCCCACTCCGATCCATTGCAAAAATCAACTTTGATCGATCCAGGATCGATTTTGGTACCTTAAATCGTAGGATCGGACGATCCTATGATTCAAGATCGCGAGTTTGCAAACTATGCTAACAGGCCTACCTCGTGCAAGTTGGCTCCAAAAATGGGGATAAGCCACGCATGATTTCTAGTGACCTGCATGTTTTGGCCATTTAATTCTTGGGACAGTACGTTTAAGGCCCCCAACTAACAGATGCAACTAGTTGAAGTGATGAAAAGCAAAGGCGGGTCCTTGTGTATAACATAAATGTGAAGCTCAGAAAACAAAAACAAAAACAACACTTTTTTCCGACCTCACAACAATACTGATCTCCTCTGCGATCTTGTAATATTTTCAGGCTTTAATATCAGCCATGGTCTTGAAGTTGGAACTCAATGTGAATTCCGCTGAGGATCTTCCAGATGTAAGGAGTTGGTCCTTCCTGGAAATGAAAGTATTTGGGGAAGTTTCCATCGACGGAGAACCACAAGTGACGAAGACTCCAGTTGATTATGTTGGAGGTATCAACCCGAGGTGGAACATGAAGACTCCGTTCATCCTGTCGGAGGAATCCGTCAAGGGGGATCACATGCTTGTCATCCGACTCCTCTGCGAGAGGTCATTCCGGCGCCCTAAGTACGTCGGCGAAGTGAAGTTGCCGTTGAAACAACTCTTCGAGAAGAGACAAGCTCATCCTGTTTGTGAAGAATTTCGCTTGACTAGGGTTGAGGAAGATGATGTTGTTCATAATTTTGGTGTACTCAAAATGTCGTACTGCTTCTATGAATCAGTTAAGACCTCCAAAGCAGAGGTCATCTGGAGAGTACTTTTGCCAGTTGCCGGAATTGCTCTCGGTACAGTCGCAGAGGTCATCGTTCCAGGTTAGAGAAACTACATTTATGCAGTACGCGCGTGTGTGTAATGGCATATTAATATCTCTAACAAATGAACAGAAATTATGTTTTGTCAGGTGCATCAATTGTGATTGCACCCGTGTTTGGCTGCGGATGACTGCTGCTAATAATGTAAACAGGTGGTTTTTTTGTTAGTCCTTCATTTATTAATTATTGACTGATGCAAATATAAATTCTTTTCATTGGAAAATAATAAATTGCTACGTGAGTGTTGAGCAGTAGTGATCTTCCAAACCTCTTGGGTCAGATCTTTTGAAGCTGGAGATGATGATTGAGGCTTGCTGGGTCTTTATCACAAATCAAATGATTGTGTTTGCATATGTATGTTTGGGATTGTACTTTCATAAGAATAAATCACAGTATTGCCGTTAGTACTTCTTTCGTTCTAAACTAAATATCCTGTTTGACTTTTCATTTTTTTTATTTTTTCATGAATTGTACTAAAAATGAAAATTAAATATGACAATCTTTATCAGGCTTAGAAAATAATTAAATTAAGTTTGTCTTGTTATGTATCCATTTTATGATATCTTGTGATTATTTTCTAAATCTAAAGGCAACATACTTCCCACAACTATTTATTTACTATGTGTAACAGTAAACTTTCCATACAATTGGATTCTTTATTTCGACATATCAATAAACTAAAAACGATCTCTCGTATCAAAAGCTAAAATAAATGTCTCTTCGCAAAATAGTTTCTCACGATATGATTCGTCAAAGCACAATCACATTAATTTATCATTGCATCTTGATTACACCATAATTTGAATTGGAGGGAAAATTATTATTTGAAAATTGATAATTATTTTAATTGATACATTATTTTCTTTGGAAATAAACTTTATTCAAAAACCGAAACTAATCTTGTCGACTTGATGCTAGATTGGATAAAACTGCCAAAATAGTGCCAGAGGACCAAAAAAACTTGTGTACATTAATGTAGAGGACCAAAATGAGGAAATGGCCTAATGTAAATGACCATTTTCAGATATTATATAGTGACATCAGGTTTTTCAATTAGGGCTAAAATTGTTCTTTAATACAATTCCTCTAAATTTTTCTCAACACAATGTAATTAATAATTATGCGGTCGAAACGACGTCATTTCCATGTTATACGCCGACGTTTTTTAGCTCACACGTATTAATCTTTCAAAAGTAATTTCAGACATTTCCCGTCACTTTTTTGGTACCCCATTTTTGAAAAACTGGATTCAGTTAAAGAATTTAGCTGGACTCCCTCTATTCTAACATCTTTCTTTCCCTCGCTTTCTTTTCAGGAGGAGTTGCTAATGAATATATTGATGGTGGAGTCGAATGCTAAGGGGTTGGAGGTGGTTTTGGCGTTTGCTAGTGGTTGTGTGGCAGTCTTTGGCACTAAGATTCTCGCCGGAGGTGGTGCATGTAGTTTATTTGGAAGAGGTGAGGAATTTAGAAGTGTGAGAACAGAGTGGAGGATAAGATCGGTGGAGGTGGGGATTTGGAGTAGGTGGTAGTTAAGGATGGAGCTGTGTGATTGGGTCGGCAGACTAATTAATAGTTTAGGGATCATCTTGTAAATATGCATAAATGTTGTTGGAGTAAATGAGTCAACCATCAGGTTGTAATACACCATCATTGATACATGAATATTGATATGCTCTTCTTGAAGACCCGTGTAAGCCCACATGTGGTTTCAGTTCAAAACCAACTGATAATAAGAGGAGTAGTACATGGGAGTTATGTGTTGGTTAAGTTGAGTTATTATTTCTAATGTGAGACAAGAGTTTTTTACTTGTGTTCAAGTTCAAAGGGATTTTTAACGGCTCTTCCTGCTACTCTGAATATTCTCTCTTTTCCAAATTCCTGATCTCTTCTTTTAATCTTTCTGTCCCAATTCTTCTTCTAAATTTCGATTTATATCGGTGTTATTTTCTGCGTGTGAAAATCCAAGAGTGTACAATCGCCACGCTCTTTCAGATTTGATGCCTAGAAATAGAAAGATTCACAAGCCTGCTTACTCGGCTTTTCAGGGTCTCAAATTATTTGGATGAATAATGTCTACTTTCCTCTACTAAGTCATTATCAACATCTTCTAAAATAGTTTTGTGGGTGAGTCATTGACCAGCTTAAGTCGTATGTCAATTTCAAGTATAGTTTGTTTTTAGCTTATGGGGTTTATTATTACTCCGTATTTCTTTTCGGAAGATTGTAACTGTTGGGCCAATGACAGCTTTTTAGTTATTTGCGGTTCCTTAAATTTCATGTGCAGGAAATTTTATTTTTTCCTTTTCCCTTTGAGTATGTGCTTTTCTTAGAAAATTAAAGTATTCAATATCAGTCTAATTTCTCCGATTGCTTCCTTTCAGCCATGCCTCAGGCCACCAGGTCGTGACATCCAGCTTCGATGAGTATTTTTCATTTTCACATTGAAAAGATGAAAACTACAGTTTTGAAATTTGTATAGTTTTCATACTCCAAAAAAAAAAAAAACTCAGCCGCTGTCAAAATATGTGAAGCAGCCAATTGGTCTTTAAGCAGCCCAAAAAAGAGGGCTATTCATTCCAACTCCTTTGGGCTTTGAATTAAATTTTCTTTCCCATCTTGCCCATAACTGAACTTTAAAATCTCACGCGTCAAAATGCCCTTAGCTGGCTTTTTCCGTACGGAGGTCATAAATAGTCGTCGTAGTATCTTTCAGTCATCATCCATTCATCCTTTTTTTTTCGATTCAAAAGGGAGATAATTACAGCTCCTATACTATTACATTTCTCGGGTGTGCCACCCTGATGATGTCATGGAATAGCCAGTTTCTAACCCCTCATGGTGGAAAATCCATCTTATGTAGTCCCGGAGGATTTGACACCACCAACGCGGCCATATAGTCGGCCGCAAAATTCTTCTCACGATGCACATGTGCTAGCTTCACTTCCCAGCTTCTACTCATGAGTTCCTTGATGGCACACAAAATTCCCAAATGCACTTCCGAATTTGGCTCCTTTGGTAGCACTAGCCTTACTACAATTTTATTATCCACCTTCGCCTCTAGCTTCCTATACCCCTTGTCCCATGCTAGTTGCAGGCCTTGCAAAAGTCCCCAAATCTCTATTCCCGTAATTGAGCAGTACCCAATGTTTATTGAAAAGCCACCACACCACCCTCCAGTGCAGTCCCTCAACAAGCCACCAGCAGTTGCCCATCCGATGTCGGTATTCAGGGCACCATCGATGTTTAATTTAATCCATTCTGCCGGTGGAGGTGACCATGCCAGCAACCGCCATTCCCTTGTCACCGATTTTGCCCCTACCATCTTCAAGCTTTTCCTGGCCTCAATCACATCAGACACTTTCTGTGTAATTTCCTTCACCGATTGCCACAGTGAGACCTCCTTCCCTTCAAAGAGTGCCATATTTCTCAACCTCCAGATCCACCATGCCGTAACCCCAAACAACATGGGCCAATTCTCCCCACCACTACCTCTCCAATTGGCGAAATTTTCCATCAGCCACTCCTTGCATTCCGGGCTATTAAAAGCCCTCCATTCAGCCACCGGCACCAATGCTTTCCAGACTACAGCCGCTTTCAGACAATCCCTCAGCACGTGCTGCGTTTATTCCTCCACATCCCCACACCACCCACAGCAACGGTCCATCGTTAAATGCCTCCAACCCCTTTCCACATTGGTTAGTAACCGCTGGTTACTCGCGAGCCACAAGAAGTGGCGGATCTGATGCGGGCAGCCCCACTGCCAAACCAACTTCTAAATGGGATCTTTGAGTTGAGTGTGCCGTTCAGAGGTAACCTCATAGGCAGATTTAATTGAGAAATCACCCCCACTTAAAGGTCCCCAATACAGAATATCTTCTCCTCTCTCCGGTGCCGGCGGAGGGATTTATAGTATTTTAAACACCGACGATGCTGGAAGAAGGTTGGGCTAATAAGGCTTCCACCTTATCTGAGATGACGACGCGGGGCATTTGCCCATCCTTTATCAACACTACTTCCTGATCCAGATCCTCAATCTCTATGTCCTCAGTCTCGAACATTGGGCAATCCCTATGCCGTTGACCACGGAGCATCTTCTCCTTGAAGCTCATCGGGCCCGGATGAGGATTAGAATTTTCAAAAGCATTAGTTCTTCCCCCAAAAAAATCCCATTGCTTCTCTTTCACACGGGCTTTTTTTGTGGGACGAAGGTCGATGGACGGTGATGTGGATGCTTTTGAATTTTGGTCCAATTGGAGTGGGGGGAAATGACTATTATCAGCTGCATGTTTTGGTTGTGGGTTCAGATCAGACGGTGGGTTGCTGATTGGTGGTGGGTTTGGTGGCGGGTTTGGTTCAGGGGGTGGGTCTGGTTGTGGGTTATTTTGGGTTGGGTGCACTATTTTAGTCAGAGAAAGCTTTCTTACCGCTAGCTTCTAAGATGCAACAATGAATAGAATTCATCATCCATTCATCCTTATCACTCCAGAGCGGCAATATTTCCAAATTTCTCCGGCGAAACTTCGAGCAAGTAATTCCGATCTTATTTTCTATATTCCACTTAATCTTTTTCCTCCATTCTTCTTTTGTTTCTTGGTATTATCGCCCAGACTCATCTTTCGTGTTTCTCTCCGCTGCAGAATTCTTGTTGTCAGCTCTCCACCGCCTGCTTCTTCCGGCTTGCCGCCGGGCCAAAATGAAGAGGGTTAGTTTTTGCTTTTTCCGTTTCTTTGTGGTTCTCTTTTTCTCTCATCTGGGATTTGCGTACTTAGCTGAAAAGAATGACATTTTTCCCTTTGTGACTTGGTTTTTTGTGGTGGCTCGCCGGCGACAGAGAGAGAGATCCCACTTGGGGAAATTTGGGAACTGTTGAAGCCCGGACTTAAGACCTTCACCCAAAGAGCTGCAAGATTCAATCTTTTTTCTGTCTTGAAAATGGGTTGAATTTTTCTTCTCAATTAAATCACGAATTTTCACCGAATGATTGAAATTAATCTCACTCTGTTTTAATTCGGTTAACACGCTCCCTTGGTGCTGATTATGAGCACAACTGGCCATGAAGCCATGAAGACTCTTTTTTGGGTGAGTTATTTAATTAGGCCCTACGCTTAAAGGTCAAATAATTCCTATTTTGAGGTACTGTGTGTTAGATTTCACTTTCCTAGACTAAAATTTTGTTTCTGTTTCTTCTTATGCATGTGAAATCAGATTGCTATTCTTTTTATAGTGATTCGATGCGTTGGAGAGCTTATGGTGATACAAATAACACCGGGTTTGATAGAATTTTCGAGATCAATGGCGCTGGCTTTAGAAATGGCAATTTTCCTGCATGCCCTTGGAAGATCCCGAAAAGCATGGTTCTCTGCTCTTGTTATCCCTCAAATATATTTCTTAACACAAAAGCACCATAAATCCAGACTTGTCCATATTTTTTAGACACTTCCATCATTTATTTAAAGCATGTACGTAAGACATTATTTTGTTCGCATCTTAGAATCTGCCATACAAATTCGCATTCGCATTTTCATCTTAGAATCTGCTACTGGAAATCACATTTTGATTAATCAACGCCGCATGTTCATGTTCATGTTTATGTTCATAATGGATAAATTCCTTTTGGGAGACAAATATTTGTTTTAATAAACATTTTAATCAATGCTATATATTTTTGTTCACGTTTGAATCCGAGTTATGATTAAAACTTTTCACTACTTTTGAAGATATGCTTTTTATTTAATTTATCAAGAAGAAATTTGGTGCATTTTTTAAAGTCTTGATGATGCCTAACAAATGAAGCAAGTCACCATCTTAGAACAAAAAAAAAAAAGAGAAGCAAGTCACCGATTTGGGCTAGTCATCTTTTTTGGCTTTAAATTTTCTTGTATTTACCATTTTATCCACGACGGATAAAAACACCACGTTAAATGAGAGGAAAATTTACTTATATATAACCTAAAAAAATTTTGAAGAACAAAATAAATCTAGGTTTTAAATTGTGGCCAAAACTGATTCTTTCGCGCTTCGAACATGCGAAAATAAGCAAAATTGCGTTTTAAAAACGCTAAAAAAAAATTTCGCATTTTAAAAACGCTAAAAAACCATTATCGCGTTTCAGAAACGCTAAATGTAAGATATCGTAATTAATTTAACTTAATCGTAACTAATTAATGGTAAAAAAATTAATTAAATAAATATTCGCGTTTTTAAAGCGCGAAAAAATTAAAAAAGAATATTTTATTTAAATAACTTCACAAAAATCGGTCGAACGACCGAAAAGACATAAATATCCAATCCATTATACTGGAGTCCAAGTCCTGGACTCTTGCCTATTAGGGGTAATTTGGTAATTTTGTCGAGGGGTTTAGGGATTTGTTCCTTGATGTATTTTTTTTGTCCACCAAGAATAATTTGTTGGTTAAATCCACAGAATCATCAGAATTCTGAATTTCTAAAACGCGTATAATTTATGGGTTAAATAACTTTATAAAAATCAGTCGAACGACCAAAAAGACATAAATATCCAGTCCATTATACTGGAGTCCAAGTCTTGGACTCCTGCCTATTAGGGGTAATTTGGTCATTTTTGTCAATAGGATCTGATTTGTAAGATGATTTTTTTTTGTGAAGCCGGGGATCAGATTTGTTGATTATTCCGATTTACATCTTTATAATATACCTTCCCCAAAAAATTTCGCGTTTTGAAAATGCTAAAAAACATTACCGCGTTTCAGAAATGCTAAAAGTAAGATATTGTAATTAATTTAACTTAATCGTAAATAATTAATGGTAAAAAAATTAATTAAATAAATATTCGCCTTTTTAAAGCGCGAAAAAAATTAAAAAAAATATTTTATTTAAATAACTTCACAAAAGTCGGTCGAACGACCGAAAAGACATAAATATCCAGTCCATTATACTGGTTACGGGTGCTTGACTTTAGGGTGGCTCATACCCAAACTTGTGGGAAAAAAAATGTGTAGGGTTTAAAAACTGGACATTTCTAATCTTCTCGCGCTTTGAAAACGCGAAAACAAAAAATTAAATTAAAACTTTGCATTTGTGAAACGCGAATTCTGTTAATGGAATTAAAAAAATTAAATTATTATTTGCACAAATTGATCCGGAAAAAAAGAAAGAAAAAAATGGAATTAAAAAAGGGAAACAAAAAATAGCGTTTTGAAAACGCAAGTATTCTATATCACGTTTCAAAAACGCGAAAAAGCTTTAGCGTTTTAAAAACGCGAAAGCTGTATATTTAAAATAAATTTTTAAATTAATTTTAGAGAATTTAGCATTTTGAAAATAAACCGAATATTGTGACAATTTAGCATTTTAAAAACGCGAAAAAAAATGGTTTTACCATTTTGAAAACGCGAAAATTGGTTTTAGCGTTTTGAAAACGCAAAAATATCCAGAAAATCTCCTCAACTACTCATTCGGCTCCACGTGTATTTTGCTGATAAGTTTTGAATGAATTCGCGTTTTGTACCCGCGAAATTTAAGATTTACATACCAAAATAACAGCATTTCTTCCCAAACCCACCTTCTTTCGTTCTGTTGAGCTCCGATTTTGAGTTTCACTCCGGGGGACTTGGCTGAATCCGGGAAAGTTCTCATTTCCTTCAAATTGAGAAGTTACTCCGAAGTTAAAGAAAATTGATTTGAGTCCTGAAGCCTATTTAAAACCCAAAGTTTCAACATTCATGTAATTTTTTTTCGTTATAGAAAACATGTACTTTTTTATGCCTTATTGTGAGCATAGAATGATTTACGCATTATTATTAGTTCATAAATAATTGAGATTTACTCAATTAACGGTGGATTTTTAATTAGGCTGATAAAGTGAATTAAAAGAAATATTAGTTAATAGAATGTTAAATTAGATGAGCTTTGTAAATTATTGTGTATCGATTCCTATAAAATAAAATAAAATTATAATAATGATATTGAATTTTTGAATATTTTTAGCATAAGAATAAATTATGTAATTCGGGCACAAGGTTTAGATTTAATATTAATTTAAATTCTTTGATTGTAAAATTTGTAAAATACCATCGAAGATTGTGTGTGCTGTTGTTAAATTATATGATTCTTGAAATTTATTGTATATTGGTTTATGAAAAAGTTTATAATACCCAGATTGAGTTTTTAAAATATTTTTAGTGTAGAAATGAATTTTTAAATTCAGGCGTATAGTTGTTCTTTTGAAATTATTAAATCTGTAAATGGGGTAAATACTATTTCGGCAAAACTAAAATTCAAAATGTATTCTAGTGTTCTGATTTCGTAGGAATTGATTTGCAGGCTGTAAATGTCTTTCACGGAGACAGTTCGTCTGAAAGTATACTGGAATACTACTTATACAACTGAACCTGATGGGACTATCACGGTACAGCGAGATGCGCTAGACGGTTTTCTAATTATTGATCATATGTTAGATTTCTCGGAACTTGTTGATAAGGTATGTGGTGTGATGGAAGTTGATAGAGAATGGTTGTATATTGATTTTTCTTTGGTATGGATGGAGAGGTCAGGGAAAAGGTCTCGTGTGCACATTAATGATCATAATACTGTACGGTTCCTTTATCTTTGTGCTGATAAATAGCCGGAATTGTACATTGAAAATGTTGAGAGAATAGGCCATGTTTATGCAAGTACATCTGGCCAGGATATTAGTGCCAGCACTAGTGGTGGTATAACAGTTGAAGACAATGAAGATGGAGATGAAGATGAAGATGAAGATGAAGATGGCGGGGGTGTCGAAAGCAGTGATGATGAGTACGTCCGATCGGATGAGGACTCAGATGACGACACTGATTTTGATTCATCTTCTTCAGTACCATATGTTTTCGAAGACATCAGTGGATGGGACAAGACTTTAGAGGAAGTAGATTCTGATGGGATAAAAATGTGGGACGGCAATCCGTTGACGGTTGACCTTGATGTACATTTCACCAACAAGCTTGAGGCACAAGCGGGAGTGGGAGAATGGAACTTGCGACAATGTCGGACTTTGCGGGTGAAAACTAGCTCTAAACGAACATGGTATGTCGAATGCGAGACCTGTGGGCCCAAATATCCGAAAGAGCGTCTTCACGGCTATGATTGCCTA